AATAAAGACAACACCATCCAGAACTTTTGAGTATTGACCATACTTAAAGACACAGGTAGAGAGGGACTTAGGCTACAAGGTTCTAAAGGAGAAAGCCTCAGAATTCCAAGGGGAAGCAAACCTTTATTTCAAGAATAAACTCTGATGTTTGATAACAAAAGTCCAAAGGCTACTTACAAATTCAGAAAGGACTAGAGATGCTGGTATTTCAAAGCTATTTCCAGGAAAACTGACTCAGGTACCCATAGTTGAGTATCTGTGGCTCAGACTCTCTGAGCTATTTCCTATCTCTGTGACTCATTTTCCTCTTTGTGTCTGTGACTTTGTGTATGTGTATGCATATATGTATATATATTTGTGACTCTCTAAAGGAAAAGCCAGTTTGCTGTATCCTCTTATTTAATTTTTTCTTGATAAAATTATTTCCCTTTCACTTTTTTTAGCTTAGTTTCATCATGTATCCTTAGGTAGAATAGGTAGAAAGCTTCTCGGTTCTTTGATTCTTCATCCATCCATTCATTAATTGTTCCTGAATGTCTGTTGTGTACCTAGTGTGTGCAGTTAACAATAAGGAAAATAAGAAAAAATCAAAAAGCCTTTGTCCTCCTGAAGCATCCGTCTAGCAGAAGGGGACACACAATAAACAGGTAAACAAAATGGAATGTTAGCTAGTGATAGTTCCGCAGAGAAAAATAAAGCAGTGAGGAGGTGGGGGTTCAGGGGCCAGGTCCTTCGAGCCTGGAGATGCAGTCGATCTGAGATGGTCAGAGAGGGGACCAACAGGAACACTCACAGCGCCAGGGCTTTCCACGCTGGCTCTCAGCAGAATCTTTCCAGGGAACTCGTGACATGCAAATTCTCAGTTACCCTTAGAAATTCTGATTCTATAGATCTTGGGGTGGCTGAAATGATGTATTTTTAACAAGGGTCCTAGGTGATTCTCATGCAGCCCTTGGTCCCACAACGTTTGAGAACCGGTGACTTAGACAGCAAAGGCAGCTGGGAGATTAAAGTTTGAGGAAGCATCCAGAAACCAGGAGGTTTTGGGGAAGAAGACAGGACACTTCTCATTTTGTCCCCTCCACCCATCTTCCACAGCCTAGAAGCAGCCCCCCTGTCATTTCCTGCATCCTGTCCCCACCATGGCTTAGAGCCTCAGCCCCCCTGCTCTTCATACGCAAAGGCAAGCTGCTTTTGGAATTAGGAAAACTCTTTCCTCTCCTAATAAAGCTTGCTAACATACAGTTCAAAATTGAGCAACTACTTCCTTGTTCTGGACAGCACCTACTGTCTACCTCGGAGGCACCTTCAGGAGCAGTGGGTGCCACTGATTCCTTGGGTGAGAGAAAATTACAGGGAACACGATCTATGGAGCATGAAACAGATGTACATTGGTTTCACGTTTCAGAAATATTATCTTTGCTGTGCACTTTTTCGTCCTCGTGTTTCTTTCCATGTGAGCAGCATTTAACACCTCTGGCTGCTCCTTCCTCTTTGAAATGCTTTCCCCTTCCACATTCTGCTGGTTTCCATTTCAGGCTGTTCTTCCTGAGTCTTCTTTATAGGTTTCTCCTCCGCTCCTCCCTTAAATATGGTTCTCCCCAGAACCATATCTAACACATATGCTACACATCTCTGTGTTTTGAAGACCATCTTTCTTCCCTCTCCCACCTGAGCTCCATCTGCACAGCCAACTTCTTCTTGAAGGGTCTCCTTAGGGGCCTCCCAGTAAACTTCAACTCGCCAGGTCTAAAATCCCCAGAGGTGGGGAAAAAGTTAACTACCCCTGCCTCTGGGATGGAATCGTTTCAAATGGAAACCCAAGAACCTAAATTGAACTATATGGAGTAAAAAAAAAAGCCTTTCAAGGGAATTTCAAGGTTATTGATAGTGTATGGTAAATAATGGGCTCGATGAAATCTCTCTCTTACCTCTTGTTTTTTTTTTTTTTTTTTTTTGAGATAGAGTTTGGAGTCTGACTCTGTTACCAAGGCTGGAGCGCAGTAGTGTGATCTTGGCTCACTGCAACCTCTGCCTTCTGGGTTCAAGCGATTCTCCTGCCTCAGGCTCCTGAGTAGCTGGGGTTATAGGTGCGTGCCACCACACTGGCTACTTTTTGCATTCTTAGTAGAGACAGGGTTTCACCATGTTCGTCAAGCTGGTCTCGAACTCCTGACCTCAGGTGATCCACCTGCCTCAGCCTCCCAAAGTGCTGGGATTACAGGCATGAGCCACCTCTCCTGACTTCTCTTGGCATCTTAATGCTGTGGACAGATTGAGTAACTCTTTTCTGCAATTAATTCAGGCACTATGCATTTGATTTCTGGACTATAGGGAGAAGACTGGACCTCAAGAGCACTGGATTTGCTTGGGAGATGACAATGTATCACTTTCTGGAGTAACCCCTGTAACAGGTTAAAGGAATCTAGACCGTGATAAAATTCCTTATCAAAGAATCATAGCCCAGGACTGCTAAACTTTATTTTCCTTTCCTTGCTTACTTTTCTTTCTTTCTCTTTTCTTCTCTTCTCAGATACTCTTTACCAATTTCTTTTTCACACACGAGGTTCTTTCTACTTCTATAGTGCGGTGAAGCCGTTGCTTTTGAATAAAGACATATACGCTAGTGATGCCAGCCCTAGGCTCACCTACCTCGCCTCTCTTCCCCTGGCCTTCTCTTGGCTAACTCAACCTTTTAGTGGCTGGATGTGAAAAAGGGGCACACCCCATGCAGCTTGTCTACATGGTTTAGAGCAGTGGTTTTAGTTTTAAGATGCAGGCCGTTCCTTCCCATTCTCCCATGAATCCTCAGTAGAGAACACAGATCGGAGTGAGCAGGGCTAACGGCTGCAGTGGAAGCAGGAGCCACTTTCCTCGCATGTCCCTGTGGGGAACTTCTGCTGGTCGTGGTTCCCAATACTGGCTTTACATGACAATCACCTGGGGAGCCTGAAAAAAATATCCTCAAACGCAGGCTGCATCCCAAAGCAAACCAACTGAATCAGAATTTCTAGGTGTGGGACCCAGGCAGCAACAGTTTTCAGAGTCCCCCAAGTAATCCTGGTGGACCCCTCTGGCCAATGGCTGCATCTGTGTCACTGCATCTCCTGCTGTCTATGCTGTATCAGACCCAGTCTGGGAGGAAGGAACTGAGCATATGTGGGCCACGGGCCAGCCCCGATGGCATCTGCCACCCCCCTGCAATTGTCCCATTCTGGGTGAAGTATTAGCATAGCAAGCCCATGTGATCAGATGGGGACTCTATTTTTCAAACAGCTTTACCAGTAAGATAAGAGAAAATTTTATTTCCTTTGCCTAAAACTTGTTTCCATACCTCAGTTGGTTCCAAACTTAGGCAGAAAATAGAGAAGTGTTGCTTCTGACCCTCCCCCGCCCCCCAGCTTTCCACCGAGGCCCCGTTTGCTATACTTCCCCTTCCTGCACCCTCCAGACAGCCCCTGGCACAGTCCTAGGTGGCCTCCGAGCACCACTGGAAAATCACATGGAGGTAGCAAGTGGTCAGGCAGAGATGCGAAGAGCGCCCTGGAGCTGGACTCTGATTTTGGCTCTGCTGCTTACTAGCTATGAGACTGGGAGCACGCTACTGAATCTCTCTGTGCCTAGTTTCCTCCTCTGTAAACCAGGTTAGTAATAATAAGTATGACAGTATTTATCTCGCAGGAATGTGGTGAAGAGGCAGTGTGTTAGTCTAAATAGGCAACCCTTGGAACCTGACTGAGCTGTGAGTGTGAGCTGGCGCTGCGTACAGAGACAGGCTCTGCCCCCAAACACCAACAGCTACCCATGGAAATGCAAATCAAAACCTCATTGAAAATGAGGTTCACTAGTTTCTGAGTGTGTTTAATTGGATATTACGAGGTGTGGAACTCCCTCCTCTTCTGGGGGACTTCAGAAGATTTATAGGAATTCAATCAGGACCATATGGGTGAGCATCTTCAGCTTAAGCTAAAAGGAGCTTTCATTTTTATTGAACTGAAGACAGGCTACTCTGGAACATCCAGACAGGGTGGATGGCAGAAGCCCAGGGCACTCCAGCCAAGCTTTGGAAACTCCCTTGCTCTAGAGATGCCTGTGTACCTAAGACTGGAACTAAAGAAGCCCCTTAGCCCCTTCATATCATAAGGGCTCAAGTTCTCTCTCCCTTGTGGTTGCAGAATTCAGAACAGCAAACACCAAAGCCACACCAGCTTTGAGCTGCCAGGCTCAGATACAAAACACAGCAGTCGGGATCTGTGTGTGAGACATCGGTCTGGAGCCGTACAAACACCAGGTTTTGGGTGCACAGCTGATAGGAAAGAGTGGGTCATTGAGCAGGGAAAAGAGAGTGTCCAGGGCCTTAGAGAGCTGGCAGCATCTTGTGGAGCCTGCCCTTCCCTTGAACTTGGCCTGGAGGTTAACTTGGGTGTTCCTGCCTGCCATGATCGCCCACTCCTCCCCAGTCATTCACTGCCATCACCTCCCTATTTAAGATTCGATTGGCAACTCCCTTTTGTTTCATGCTGTTCTCTAGTTTCTTGCTATGTAAAGTGTGGTTCACTGTCCGGAAATGAAATTACCTGGCAGGGTGTTATAAACGCAGACTCTTAAGCCACCCTGGCCCTCTTGAGTCAGAGCCTGCATTGGAGCCAGATCCCCAGGTGATCCATTGTGCATGACAGTCCAGCAGACACTTACAGTTTCCTCCTGGGGTCCCCAAAGCGCCTCAAGCTTTATCTCTGGACACAGGCGAATGCCCTGTGTACTTGTTGACTCACAATTCATTTATGGCAACTGGGGATGTGGGAGGCTGGAGAAATGAAAGAAACTCAACACAGGGTGTGGTGCTTTCTGCATAATAGAGAGGTCTGAAGGTCCCATTGGGCAAGGCATTTCGATGTGTCACCTGGGCAAGTCATGCAACATGAACTGGCTCTCATCACGATTTGGAGAGAAGAAACCTGCTCCGTAAGAGAAGAGAGTTTGCATTTCTCATGTCTTACCTCGTTCAGCTTTTCAGGACTGAAAGCAGACATCAGGGCACCTCTGACCTCTTCCCATCTTTTGTCACGTAAAAACAGAACGCTGTTGGCTACTGACTTGAACTCCAAACCCGACGCCTGTTGGGAAGTAACAAGCAGAGGGTCAGGACTCAGAGAGTCAAAGCCACCTTGGTGGCAATACAGGTCCATGACAAACACCCTGGTTAAAGTCCATCGATGGCCAACAAGTTAGGAGGCTGCTCTTGCAAGGATACAGAGGAAGAATATAAAGGCTCATAGGCAATGATAGAAAGAATCATGGCCAGGGCCCAGAGGGAGCAGATGGGCAAGCTCTGGTGGCTCAGTTGTACCTGCTACGATGTGGTCATCATCATAGGCACAACTCAATGGCTTCTGTGTGTTCTGCAGTCCCCCTACCGAGCGAGGATTCCCTGAAGACAAACAAGGCACGCTTCCCGGAGATGGCCTAGTCTTTCTTGGTAATTAGTATCATGTCTGAACTTCGTGGCACAGGGTTTTGTGTGACTGGATTGGTTAGGTTGGACCCGGAGTTGACAGACTCACTCGTCTGGACCCTTGTTGTACGGGTTGAGGGAGAGGGAAGGGGGAAAAAAGAAAGGCCTTCAGAAGCATGTGCCGGGACAGCTGCTTCCAAGAGCGTGCCTGCCATCATGTTTCTGTGTTCTATCGGTCATTCATTTTTTTCTTAGTCAGCCAGCAGTGGTTGGTAGCCTAATATTGTGTTATGGGATGAATTCGGCCCCCCACCCCAAACTTCATATATTTAAATCCTGACCCCAAGAACCACAGAATGTAACTGTGCAGTCAGCCTTCTATATCTGGGCATTCTGCGTCTGTGGATTCAACCAATACTGAATCAAAAATATTCAGAAAAAATTTCACCAAGTTCCAAAAAGCAAAACTTGAATTTGCCCTGTACAGAGAACTACATTGAATCCATGTACATGAAGTGATGTGTAGGTGTTGTATTAGGTATTATAAGTAATCCAAAGTTGATTTAAAGCATACAGAAGGATGTGCATAGGTTATATGCAAATACTATGCCATTTTATATCAGAAACTTATGCATCCACAAATTTTGGTGTCCTGAGCAAGGGTGGGTACTGGAACCAATCCCATGAGATACTGAGGGATGGCTGTATTTGGAGATAAGGTCTTTGAAGAGGTAATTAAGGCCGGGAGTGGTGACTCACGCCTGTAATCCCAGGACTTTGGGAGGCCGAGGCAGGTGGATCACCTGAGGTCAGGAGTTTGAGACCAGCCTGGCCAACATGGTGAAACCCCCCGTCTACTAAAAATACAAAAATTAGCCAGGCATGGTGGTAGGCACCTGTAATCCCAGCTACTTGGGAGGCTGAGGCAGGGAGAATTGCTCAAACCCAGGAGGCGGAGGTTGCAGTGAGCTGAGACTGCACTAATGCACTCCAGCCTAGGCAACAGAGCAAGACTCTGTCTCAAAAAAAGAGGCAATTAAGGTAAAATAAGGTCATTAGGGTGGGTCCTAATCCAACATGACTGGGGTGCTTATTAGAAGAGGAGATTGGGACAGAGACACACACAGAGGGAAGACCATGTGAGGATATAGGGAGAAGACAGCCATGCACAGGTCAAAGAGAGAGGTCTCTGGAGAAACCAACACTACTGACACCTTGACTTCAGGCTTCTGGTCTCCAGCACTGTGGGAAAATCAATTTCTATTGTTTAAACCCCCAGTCTATGGTTGGTTGGTATAGTAGCCTAGTAAACTAATACAGGGCTCAAGAAGTTTTCTATACTGTCTTGAATGAAAAAGACTTTGCGGCTGGGCATGGTGGCTCACGCCTATAATCTCAGCACTTTGGGAGGCCTAGGCGGGTGGATCACCTGAGGTCAGGAGTTCAAGACCAGCCTGGCCAACATGGTGAAACCCCGTCTCTACTGAAAATACAAAAATTAGCTGGGTGTGGTGGCAGGTACCTGTAATTCCAGTTACTCAGGAGGTCGAGGCAGGAGAATCACTTGAACCTGGGAGGCGGAGGTTGCAGTGAGCCAAGATCGCACCACTGCACTCCAGCCTGGGGGACAAGAATGAAACTTCATCTCAAAAATAAAAAATAAAAAAAGAAAGAAAAGAAAAAGACTGCTTTGGCCCTCATGAGTTAGCAGTGTAGAGGGGAAGCAGAGAGTAAACTCTTAAGCTAACAATTAGACGGAAAGTGAATTTTCCTGGAGGGAAAGTGTATTTCTTGGAGAAAGTATATTTTCCTGGAGGGAAAATGGGGCAAGGTGGGACATCGGTAGGGAACATGGTTGGGAGGCTTCTCTGAGGTGAGCACTTTGGTCTCCTCATACCTTCTTCCCAGGCCATTCTGCTTCTTTCTATAACCAACTGTCCCACTAAATGGTCAAAAATGGAGCCCCCACCATTGGTCAGAGTGTCGCCAGCCTGCAGGTTCCAGGGTGTGGGGAGACAGGGGGTTGGGGGCCCAAGCAGTCTCAGAACCACGTGTGCTGCATGGTGACGCTATTTCTTTTCACTGTTTTAATTATAGCTGAAACATGAAGCCAGTCATCAGAATTCAAAAGCCTTGTAAAAACTCCTATTTAGAGGAAAATTATAATTTTCTGATAAAATATGAACACTCAAAATAAGCCATAAAACATAACTGCAAAGTATCTAGAGGGGAGTTAATTATATATTAGAACCAAGATGCTGGGATATTTTTTCTGCAGAGGAATACCTCTCTATATTTAGAAGGAAATTCTTTAGGAGCGCCATGGACACTCAAGAGAATTATGGTTTTATGGAATTTGGGGAACATAGTCCATTTGTTTAGGTTCCAGAGTTGGAGGAGGAAATCACACATTATGTGTACGTATGTAGTGGCAAGATGCAGTCCTGTGGCGCACTACATGGAATAAAGCATTTAACTCCAAGGAAAGTGGGGTGATGGTTTACGTGGTGCTGATGAGACGGAATAAATTAGAGCTAAGAGTGAAGACTGACTGGATCTTGTACCTATCCTTAAGACTTAAGGGTGAATTTACACTATTTTTTTCTTGCACCTGAAAGACAAATGTATTCCTCTTTGCAATATGTCAGCATGGCCTTCAAGTATCTTTCTCACCAGCCTGCCATGACACTGTGCTCCCCTGGGCCTGGAAATTCCATTAGAATCCTCCATTTTTTAATGAAATCATTTGGGGCTATTGGTTATCATAATGCTTTTATTTCTGAAAATATTTTATTTATTTTTTGAAACAGGGTCTTGCTCTGTCACCCAGGCAGTAGTGCACTGGTGTGATCGTGGCCACTGGAACCCCAAACTTCCGGGCTCAAGCAATCCTACCCTGTCAGTCTCCTGAGTGGCTGGGACTAGAGGCACATGCCACCATATCAGATTTTTTTTGTAGTTTTTTTGTAGAGATGGTGTCTCACTATGTTGACCAGGCTGATGTTGAACTCCTAGCCTCAAGCGATCCTCCCACCTTGGTCTCCCAAAGTGCTGGGATTACAGGCATGAGCCACTGTGCCTGGCCTCTTTTCGTTTCTAGATGTCCCACGTTAAAAGGAAATTGATCATTTCAAAAGAGCAGTCAGATGGTGAGGGCACATTGAATCATGTCATATATGAAATAGTTGTCAGATTTTGGAATTTTAAACTGAAAAAGAGAAGATTTGGAAGATCAGATAGTGGTACTTAGGCATGTGCCCAATAAATATTTATTGAATACATACTGCATGGGAGAGGGAATTTAGGGTTTTTTTTTTTTTTTTTTTTTGGTGATCTTGAGAAGTGGAATTGTGTTTAATAGGGGAAACTATGGGGAAAATTTCAGCTTATCTGAAGGAGAACTATCCCAATAGTCAACAGACAAAATTATTGAAAGATAAGATAACCTGCCTTGAGCGATGAGCTTCACACTCCTGGTGACTGTTCCACTTCTTGGAAATCCTGTACCCAAGGCTTGAGCATGCAGAGGGGGTTTGGTCTACAAGCCTTGCAAGAAGTCTTTCAACCCTGATACTTCATGTGTGGAAAGTCACTGCAGACACTCTTTTTCTATTAGTTTGCCTACACATTGATTTAAAAAACTGTGGTAAAATACACGTAACGTAAAATTCACCATCTTAACCTTTTTTTTTTTTTTTTTTTTGAGATGGAGTCTCGCTCTGTCGCCCAGGCTGGAGTGCAGTGGCACAATCTCGGCTCACTGCAAGCTCCGCCTCCTGGGTTCACGCCATTCTCCTGCCTCAGCCTCCCGAATAGCTGGGACTACAGGTGCCCCATCTTAACCATTTTTAAGAGTACAGTTTGGTGGTATTAAGTACACTCACATGGTTGTGCTACTATCACCAGCATTCCTCCACAGAACTTTTTTCATCTTGCAAAAGTGAAACTCTGTGCCTATTCAACAATAGTTTCCATGCCCCTCCATACCTCCCGCCTGTCCACATATGTTCATTGTCTAGATTTACTGAAAGATGCCTTGAAAGAGACAAAGGATTTCCCCCAAAGGAATGAGTGATGTGGTTTGGCTGTGTCCCCACCCACATCTCATCTTGAATTGTAGCTCCCACAATTCCCACGTGTGGTGGGAGGGACCTGTGGAGGGAGGAAATTGGATCATGGGATCAGGGCTTTCCTATGTTGTTCTCATGGCAGTGAATAAGTCTCACAAGATCTGATGGTTTTATAAAGGAGAGTTTCCCTGAACAGATCCTCTTCTCTTGTCTGCTGCCATGTGAGGTGTGCCTTTCACCTTCTGCCATGTTTGGGAGGCCTCGCCAGCCACGTGGAACTGTGAGTCCATTAAACCCCTTTCTTTTGTAAATTGCCCAGTCTCGGGTAGGTCTTTATCAGCAGTGTGAAAAATGGACTAATTCAATGAGTAACAAGACTGGTAAGTGTGATGGAAGCCAGACTGTGCATTTCATGCAGGAAGGGGACTCTGCAGAAAGGAGGTCCAGGGACATAGCTTTCTAGGCTCCTGTCTGTCAGCCTAGCTGTGTCCCAAGCCTCCAACCACTCTCTGGTCAGGGGCTTCCAGACGGCAGGCCGTGACCAGTCATGAAATCAATGCCATGAGTGGCAACCAGCATTTAAAAAAAGGAG